TAGCTTGGTTAACTAGCTTATTTAACAAAATTATGAAATTCAGAAAAAAAAAAAAAAAAAAAAACCTAATGAATGAAAAAAGAGTTTTTTAGTATTAATTTAGAAAAATAAGAATGACATATAAAATTATTTAAATTATAGAAAAATTAAAATCATGAGCCATACTATGAAAGTTTGGAAAAAAGTAATTGAAAGTAGGCAAAGGTTTAAAGCAAATATTTTTAATAATTAATTTGATTTTATGCTAGGAAGATCAATCATAGAAGCTTTGTATTCATCAAGACAACTAATGAAAAAGTATAGAAAGATAAAAGAAAGATTTATATATGATTTTTATTTACTTAGAAAAAGTTTATTATAGGATTCCTATAAATTTACTATGGTGGGTTTTAGAAAAAAAAAGATGTATCTACTAATTATATTGATGTTATTAAAGATATGTATGATAATGTAGTTACTAGTCTTATAACTATAGGGAATGTGCCTAATAAATTTTTTTATTAATATAAGATTACATTAAGGATCTGTATTAAGTCTCAACCTTGTTGCGTTGATAATGAATAAATTTACTAGTCACATATATTATAAACCTCTGTAATTATTATTTATTGACGATATAATTTTAATTGATAAAAATCTAAGTAGAATTAATGATAAACTTGACTTATGGAGAAGCCTTAGAAACTAAATATTTTAGATTGAATAAGACTAAAACTGATTATATAAAATATAATTTTAGTGATTCTAGAAATAGATATAAGAATATAATTAAATTAGATAGATGAGAAGTCTTTTAAGTAAAAAAATTAGATATCTTGGATCAATTATTCAATAAAATGAAGAGATTATTTATAAATTAAAAATAAGATGATTAAAATGAAGAGGGGCTTTAGGAGTTGTGTGATAATTAGAAACCTTTGATATTAAAAGAAAAATTTTATAAGATAGTTGTGAGTCCAATAACACTTTCATAGATTTTGAGTGTTGGGCAATGAATAAATAATATATACAAAAAGCTTGTATTACTAAGATTGAAATTTCGAGATAGATATATGAAGTTACTAGGAAAGATAAGAAAAAAAATATTTTTATTTGTGAACAACTAGATATCATTTTGATATAGAATAAAATGAGAATAAATTATTTAAGATAGTATGAACATTTGTTTAGGAGATCTCTGAATATTATAGTTAAAAGAGATAAAATAATTAATATTAGTATTACGAGCAGAGATAAAGGAAGACCTAAAAAGATTTTAATAGAAATTATAAATAAAAATTTAGGTACTTTAAGCTTAACTAAACATATGACCTTTTTATATATCTCAACGATAATAAAAAATCAACGTAGCTAATCCCAAATAATTAGAACTTACGACTTTATTGTTGTTGTTATATTATTAAAACCTTAAAAGGAATTTTATAGTATTATTCAAGTGACTTTTGTCCCAAAGGGATAATTTCATATTAAATTAGATAAAATTTTAACATAATATAATTTTATACTTTTAAAGGATTGAGATAAATATAAAAAATATTTTAAAGGCTTAAAAATAGAAAAAAAATGATCATTAAAACATTTGTAAGTTATTTATAAGATTTCTTCATAATTTAATTATTATTAAAAATATGAGATATAAGTTATATTCTTTTTGGGGTCCTATTTAAAGATAGGCTCATGAAAAAATAATATAATCTAACTCGTAAAAATAAAATTATATCCATATCTTAGAAACCTAAGATAGTTTTTATCTTATAATGAAGATAAATTCACCTTAAATTGAATAAATTAAAAAAATAATTTTATCATTTTAAAGCGTTAAAATAAATTTAAAAATAATTTTAAGGTTTAAAAATAGAAAAAATAATTATTTAGGTTTTGTAAGCTAGTTTAATATTTTATAAACAAAATTAAGAATAAAAAAAAAGAGATGTGAGTTTATATTGCTTTTGATAGTTTCCTTCAACCTTAGGGAATCGCTACTTTTTGAGCTGAAGAAGAAGTCATCTTTCATCATCTCTCATATGAAACCTAAGTTTAATCCAATCCATTTTGACAAAGGTAAGAGGTCTATCTTTGATTCATCTTATTTGAACCTATGTCTATACCAGACATTATGTGCCTGGTTCAATTGAGGCTCCCAAGCCCTATGATGGTACCATTAGATCATCAGTCAAAGTTGTAGTCCCTCAATTAGTACCTCTCTTACCCCAATGCATATCTCTAATGCATCTATCCATTTTGACTTGCCAACTAGCTGCCCTCTTCCATAGCCTCCTTTTACAATGTTAATGAGTTTGTACTTCGACAAAGATCAAGCTAGTTTTTTGAAGTTGTCGTCGTTGTTAGGCCTAAGGCATGCCACTTGCTCTTGGGAATGATCGTGTCAAAGTAATCTGGTATCATCATCCTTTGGAAGATACCTTGCAAACTCTAATCTCTCCCTCCCCCTAACCAATCCCTTCTTCGCCTCCCTTAACGCCCTCACCCTCTCCTCACATATTCTTGCTTTCAATGAGGATTCTTTTCACTTCTTGGCATAAGCTTCTGACAAAGCCTTGACCAAGAACAAGCATCCCTCTCCCTGACCCTCAACAACTGATTATAACCTTTTGGTAAGCTATAGAGGTTGGTGCCCTTATTAAAGTTGTTGACCTATTTGATGATCAGATAGAGGATAAGTGGACTACTCAATCAACTGTGGAGAACTCTAAATCTGAAGTAGGCATATTCAGGAAAGTCTCAATTACTTCCTTCTCTCTTTAAAACATCATAACAAGAAGAAAAAAATAGATTTTGTGGTGGACTTCTTTGCATCTCTCTCCTTTTATAAGATATTTTCATAATACTTTTATCTTAGAAAATCTTATTTAATTTGATTTGCTCCTATAACCTATATTTGGTAGTATAGGTAGAAACTCACTTGCAAGGGGACTCCTCAAAGTCTTTTATCTGATAAATGGGAAGACACTAGCAAAGTGAATTTACTACTACCTTTAGAAGGTCTGTAAATATCTTGATCTTATGGAAGCATACCATGTATAAAGCGACACTTGTAAGAAACGACAAGCTCTAAATATGATTATGTAATATGAAAATATATCTCTTTGACTTCTATCCATAATTTATGCAAGAAACTTACCTTCTATTCATAAGTTATTATGAGATTTATTTCGTACTATTGATTTTCTCTCTGATGTGCCATGGTTTTATGAGAAGATCTGAATTTTATTTTTTCTCTTGAAGAGAAATTAGGTGATTGCCCTTTTCTTCTTAAACGATTTCTTTTGAAGTTTAATTTTTTTTTTCCATAGTGGTTTGATCGATCTGAATTTCTCTAGTAATCATTTTACTTAGAGTAATAATCATTTTGGTGAAGCTAAAATTGCTACTCGGCTTAATTAAATTCTTATCAATAATGTCTCAATGTCTTTATTATGTGATACCTTATTTTATTACATCCCTGGGCTTCACTCTGACTATTTTCCTATTCTCATTGTCATTAGGTATACCTCTCTTTATCCCACGAGTCCTTGGCCCTTTCACTTTGAAAACTATTGGTCTAAGGATAAGAAGGTCTATATTATTGTGGCCAATGTCTTTGACAGCTTGATTATAGGTCGTTCAACACTATGCTTTCTTTGTACCAATATCTCTTTTCTCTTAGTGTCTCCCTCTCGAGGAGGAGACATGCTCCCAATCTAAAAGCTTCAATCAAATTTATCCAAGTTGAGCTAATTGATCTAGAGAGCAAAGAGAATTTTGATTGTTTATTGGATTTGTTCGGCTCTCAATCACTTATTTGATCTTAAATAGTGGTCTCACGCTAAAATCCTTAGGCTTGAGTATAGTTATAAAAAGATTAAGTTTTTTTTATATAGGATGACTTCTTTTAGGTAGAAAAGTAATATCATCGTCCACATTAAGGACGAAAGTGAGCTTATTATCTCTAATAATTCTCATATCCTTAACCTTTTCTCCTGTATGCTAAACTTTGAACCTCTCACACCTTGAGACTTTCTATTGACTCGATCTTATGCCCTACCATACCCAAAATTCCTAATACAACTCACTATACTCTCTTCAAAGGCTTCATCATTTCTGAAATTAAGATAACTCTCTACTAAATATTAAATTTTATAAGGCTACTTAGGACTTACTCAAGAATTTCATCCTCTATTCCTTCTTTACTTTTCAATTCACTTATTTTATTCCCAATAGTGGGGGAAGAACTAAGCTAGTTTTCATTTTTAAAAAAGATAATTCCTCCGTGATAAAAGACTTTTGGCTTATTGCTTTATGTAATACAATCTATAAACTTTAATCTAAAATTCTAACCAACCATATTAAGCTTTTCCTTTATGACTTGATCAGAATAATCAGCTTTTATACATGGCAAAAATATTCACAATAATATTCAGATAGCTAACAAACTGGCCCACACTTTGTCTAAATCTTGGAGTAGGTCACCCCTAGTCTAAGTCATTCTTAATTTGGATATCAGAAAAGTTATTCTTAATGTTTTTTCCTTTATGAATTTTTTCTCTACTTTCATCGAATAGATCTACACTTACTTTTTCATCCTTCACTTGTTTTATAAATGGTTTAACTTCGCATTGGTTTTCAGCCAAGAAGAGTATTAGGCAAGGAGATCCACTTTCTTTTCTTATTTTGATATTTGTTAATAGGAACCAAATCACTCCCTTCAACCTAAAAGGTGTCAAACTAACCTATCTAATATTCATCGATGACTTACTATTAATCTTTTGTGTTAATAATAAATATTATTATAATGTCATGAAAACTCTCAAAATCTTTTATCAACTTACCAATCTTAAGGTCAATCATCACAAATCCAACATCTATTTTCAGAGCATTGCTTTTCCTCTACAAGATACTCTACCATATGATGGGAATCAAGGAAGGTGCCTAGTCCTTCGAATATTTGGGTGTCTTCATGTCCCTTAGTCATTTTTCCTAAAGTCATCGTAATATCTTGAATGATAAGACCCCATCCAAAGTCTAGAATTGGTACAAATGTCTTATTTCTTAGGTAAAAAATAATAATTCTTATCAATTTGGTGATTAACTAACTCTATTCCAACACATCTCCTCTTTAATTGTAATATTTCGGATTCAATTCTTTCTCATATGAGTCAAAATGCTCATAACTTCTTTTAGAATATTATCTCTTCCTCTAGGATGAACTCATTAATCAAGATACTTTCATCAAACCTAAGGGGGTCTTGGGTTGAGGAACCTCTTTATAATTAAAAGATTTATTTGTGTCAAACGTATCTTCCTAATCCTTAACAAAATTGACATCGGGTATATATCTTAAAAGCCAAATATGAAGATTTTCATCCTTGGATTGATTATCAACTCACCAATCTTTCTAGGTCCAAGAGGAACATTAACTCTCTCATAAAAGATATTAAATCTAGATTTAGAAAAATAATACCGGGATATGACATATTGTTCTTGTATTTTTGATCTTTTGAACTCTAATGGTTGGATTCTCTTTAAGTTGGAGTTGTTGTTTTATTATTTTCTAGTTGATTGAATTACGAGGTTTTACGTTTCTAGACTTCCTAGTGATGATATATGATTTATGAATATAATACTCCAACCCTATCAATTCATCAAAGCTAAATTTAAGGATAAGGATTGACAAAGATGAGATTTCGTACCTTTCGATTTCGCGCAAGGTAAAACTTCTTAGAGAAATCTTGTTGGAATGATCTCCCAACCTCTTTATCTCTCTGCACACATCCACAAACATCCAATTGAAAGCTGCAACATCTGACATCTATTTGAAAACTCTTATGCCTACATCTTTCCTTAGCTACCCTTCCTCTTTCATTTTGGACTTCCAGAATAAAACTGGGATCAGAATCAGATTCAAGCACTTTGATTCTTGGCCTTCGCTGGCTAAAGGTGAAGGGTATTCAAAATCTATTTCTAGTTGTATTCTCAGTCTTCTTTTCTATTCTCTTTGGGCTCTTTTGGCTCAATAGGAACTAGGCCAAGTTTTGCAACCGTTGTACTACTAGTCCTTGTGCTTTAAATATTTAGAGCTTTAGCTCTCATGAATAAAACCATGGAACCATATTTACTGCCTGAGGGGATAAGGATCATGAATCCTCATAATTCCTCTTCTCGGGAAGGGTGTTCTGTCTTTACATTAAAATGTGATGAATCCTTTCTTTCACCCGACTCTCCTGCAGGTATCGGCTTCGCCTTCTTTTCTCCTAGCAATACTTTGATGGCAGCTGGCTATTGTTGTCTGCCAAACTCACAACCTATCCATGGTGGAAGCACTCAAGACTGCTGAAGCACATAAATGAAGGAGCTTTCAGCTCCAAACTAATGCACAGGCCATTGTTCAGATGGTCAATGGCTCCCAGCAACCATTGACCATGGCAGCTGCAAGCCATCATTTCTGACATACGACTCTTTTTGACTAACTGTAGTATGTCCTGTATCTATAAATGGCTCCCAGGAAACAATATCATGATAAGTCTCCAATTCTCCACCTTTGAAACTGATCATTGTTCTCCGAATAACATGATATCTCTACAAACTTCCAAGGTGATTTATGCCCACTCAAAATTGCGATGACGTTCTTAATTGGTGGAAGGAATCCCTGGGTGGATAGCTGTGAAGAGACATGATGATGATGATCATTTCAGTGGTACTCTCTTCTACCCTGACATGATATTTTCCTAAGACATCAAAATGCAGGGAACTTGGGCAATCTGTAATCAGGATGCCAATCAAGATGGACTCTCGTATGTATCTTTCTCGATGGCTGTAAAGAGATCTTTAAGTAGTTTTGCTCTTTTGAGTTCTTAGATAATAATAATAATAACATCAACTGAAAGTTAAGGATGGAGCTTTTTATGTAAACAGATCAAAATCTGTGCTCTTGACAGTCTTCTCTGTCTCCATGAAGCTTGGAGGTGTCTTCATATGGATAGTGGCCTGCAGTCTTCTGAAGGTGTCTTCAGTAGTGAACGGAAAAATCCTTGATGACAATGTTCAAGCAACGGTGGCTGACAACAACTCAGATCCTTCACCCAATTGCAGAGGAATTGCTCACACCACCAACCACTGCTTCAGTATATTTCTTTAACATGGACGTTGAATGGTTTATAGTTCATGGAGGATTACAGACTGTTGGCTTAGTTGCGGGTGGTACTGCTCAGTTAAAATCTCATCCAAGATTCCATGATATTGTTAGGGTATGTGATCATCTTCCAAAGACAGGAAGCATGCACTTTCTTGTCTGATGACAAGAAATGGATGCAGTGATGGCACTATAACATGTGTTACTCTTATTCTATGAGTGAACCTAACACAAGGTAGAAACACTTCTCCATTCAAGCTCAAATCTGAAGCAGTGAAATGGCCTAAGTTTCTGATGCATGTTTCATGAGCACAAGCAGGGCTTCGCAAGTCGGCGGTGAAGCCATGACTGACCATATCAATCATCTGTGTGATATGTGATCCTTCCACTCTTTGGAATTGCTGTTGTGAGGGGAGCAGCTCAACTGGGCTTCCTGCCACAATCACCATTGTATCAGTTTGTGCTGCTGATACAATTCACTCCACCTGCTATGAGCATAGGTAGGACATGAACTGAATCTAATGGAACAAGTCAGGCATGAACTGAATCACACATCTTTGTTCACATGCATTGGAAACATCCCAGTGAAATCTAATCCAGAACCAGTCAGGCATGAACTGAATCACACATGCAGTATAATGGATCTCATCTTTACCTTGACACTCCTCTTTCGGTCTAAACTGTCATAGAAAATAATATCTTGATTCTCAAACTTTCTGAAGAAAATCTTGATTTGGCCTCTCGTATATTGCCACAGCAATTCACAGTTATGGAGTTCTTGTAGCATTCAAACCCAAAGAACTCTTGTTTGAGCTAAAAAATGTTATGGCTTTCACTATCAAGACTAGTGTTTCCTGCCTGCAACATCTTCCTGCTCTTTGACCTGCTCTTCACATCTTCTTCCTTCTCATCGATGAAGGAGAAGAATCTCTGCAGGCTGCACCCAGATTTTGAGCTTCCATGGTCGGAAGAGTCACTTTCCTCCAAGGGGTAGTGGCGAATGTACTGGTGCACCATGATCGCAAAGTATACGAACATTGCAACAGTACATGTCATTCCACATACCAGAAACAATCCCCAGAAGCTATTAAGTTGGAGGCGGTCAGACTCAAGCTCGCTCGTTTGGGAGCTGCACAAACTTCTTCCGGTAAGCCACTTGTCATGAATTCTTTGGAGATCGCCATTTTCTGATAGTGTAAGGATATTAGTGGACAAATCCACAGCTAAAGGGGAGTCCCTGGGGAATGCCTGGGTTGAGATGATAGGCATCAGCTAAGAGTCATACAAACTGAAGTGGCAGAGAGTTGCTAAGAGCCATTAGGAAAGAAAATACTGCACAAAACTTGGACAAACATGATAAATGATCACCCAGGATTAAGGCAAGCATATTTATTTCTTGTATCATTAGGAGAATAGGGTGCAGTTGTGCATCTAATAATGTATTCAGCATAATTATGATGACATGCATTTGAGAAGCCCAAAGAACAAAAGATTGTCTTGCATACATGTAAACTGAAACTAGTGTGCTTCACCTTCAGCCTTCAGCTGTGCCACAGAAATTTTCTTGGAAGCCATGGAGACAATAAAACCATTTTTTTCTTTGATTCAGCTAGAACTGCTAAAATTGACATGTTGAATCTAAAGGTCAATTCATGCAAGACAATATTCGATTCTTGCATCAGCCAAAGTTCTCCGACTAGCTAAAAGGAAGGGAAAAAAAAAACCCAAAAAGGCCACAATACTTAAACAAATTCCAAATTGCAGAAAACCAATGAATAGTGATGTCCTTGTTGTGCTAACAGAAGTTATATAACATTTATAATAATTTTTTAGCACAAAAATTAGCATTTTTATCGAAAAGGATGATAGATGCCAATCAACTAGTTTATGAGATAATAACTAGTACGGATCCTACGAACTGAATATAGTAATCCAGCAATCAAAATATCACGAACCAGTAGGAATCAAGATCTAAGTACACAAAAAGTATATTGAGCAAGTTTGTTATATAAGATAGTGGTACTTATGTTTCCAAGAGAAAAGTTTTTTGCAATCTGCTTCCTGTCAGCACTTCAATGGGATTCTAATATCCATATTATAGAAGTCAAGATTTAACTGTTTATACTTACAAATTGTTCACAACACAGTACCAGGAGAAAAAAAAAGTAATTTGTTGCCCTTTTAGCATTAAAGCTTTGTGTCTCACATAAATCTTCATCTTCATCTAAGTGTTGATCACTAATCTTTCTTTGACAATATGTGCATGAGCCTAATAGCCTAGGCATATAAGATTCACCACTAATTTAACAGGGGTTTTAAAGCAAAACTTTCACAAATGTGAATGATAATTCATGGAAGTTTTGAATCAGTATCAGGAACTGACTTATATGTTGCCCAAATGGATCATGCATATGTGTTCCCTACAAACTTTGCTTTCGATGTACCACATGACATTCATAAACTATGAGCAGCGGAAATTAATATCACAAGCACTTCAAAACCAGGAGAGAGCACAACAAAAAGAGATATCTATGAAACTTGACATCTGAAGATACTTACAAATCCCCAGCCATTTTTGGTAAATTCTGAGCCTACTATGGCAAACTCGCATTGGATTGAGAGAAATAGTTCGATATAGGGGCGTTCATCCACCACAGCGGCAACACCTCCTTTTTTGGGGCCTAGCTCAAGGGCTCTAACATAATCATTTGGGGTACCAAGTGCTTTCAATCTGGATCTTGAAATGCCAAGCTCCTCAACAAGATAGTTCTCAGTAAATGAGCCAACTTGAAACCCGATAGGCTCATTACTAGCAATTAAACTGTCAATGCTTTTTACAGGTGATGATAGTTGTTGCACAGTGAGAATTGACGTCAGACTAGCTGTGTAACTGGATTGAAGAATTAAAACCAGAAAAAGCCATATTATCAGAACTACGCGCCCCAGAGTACTCATAGTATTTTCTCCTGTGAAGAGAAAGACAACATTAATCTATGAAGTCACAAATATATCTTTTGGCTTATAAAAGTAACTAAAAAGTGAGTAGACTTCACTCACTATGAGCGAAAAACAGTGTCGAGAAGCTGAACCTGCAAAGACATTGAAGATCACATCAATTAACAGTTAGCTTCAATTGCCCTGCTAGAACCAATGATTGTTAAACTGGACTTAGAATGAATTTCTTGTCATAATGTTTCAGCTTCACATAACACAGTAAGTTCATATGCACATTAACAGACTCGATAGAAACAAATTGTACATTGTAACTGCAAATGTTGATGGATACCAAAAGACAAGAATGACCAAGAGAATTATCCAATTAATCATACAGTTCAAAATGGCTATTAAAAAACAAAAAAGGCCCACTTCGTTAGATATAACAAACAATAAAATCGACAGCCACAATTTCACCATTTGCAAAATAAGATGTATAACATGTCACAATGTCCACTTCTTAGGAGTTACCTTGCACATCCTATAGTTAGTGCACTACATCTAGCAAACAAACCAATAACTACTTTACTGAATCATGTCATTAATCAAGCATCATCTAGGGCAATTTCTTTGACTATTCTGCAGAATTCATTACAAATGATCTTAGAAGATTAAGTTTGTACACTGAGTTAATTAGCTAGTATTCTTTACATAACAACAAACCTTTTGGCATAAAGAAAATAAAGATAGTCTAACAACCAATCATTGTTATGCTACCAATGATAGCAATGTACATATTTGCTGGTACATGTATTTCAGACAATTCTTTTGTAATCATGCAACATGATAACTGATATATTACCAAGTTTGCTCAGCCTTTGATAGTACTCTGTATGACATAGGGCAGCACCATATGAATATTATGCTAAGAAATATACTTCCAAGTTCAATATGCTAAATATTTGATAACTCATAATACATGTACTAGTATATTCCTAAAAGACCATTGACTAATCTGATGAGATGATTACTGCATAAGCCTTTGGGTGACAAAGATTAAAAATCCAGTGGTGACATGAATACAAAAATCTTCCACAAAATAAACAACCAAATGGCCAGATAGTTTCACTTGATGATCGATGCAGCAGGATGTGTAAAGAAAAAGTTAAGACAGCTGTGATTGCAGTTTCTTGTCTAAACTCACCAAAAGACTGTAACTAGCTGTTTTTTTGGAGGCCCACGGAATTCATCGTTGATCCTGTGCTCAAGGATCCAAACGGCTATTCCTATTATGAGTAAGGATAACCCAGTGACACACCACATCGCCACTGTGAATGGCTGCAAGAAAGCCCAAGCATCTGAGTTGAGCTTTTCTATAGGAGCCAATATGACAAGCCCCGATTCGATATATGGCTGGGTAAAATCAACAATCTTTGTTCGATTTGTAACTATGGCTATATCGCCTATAGCAGCATCAAAGTCCTACAACAGGCGAAGTTACAGGATCAGTAATCACAAAATTCAAACTCTGCAGGAAATTCACATTAAGTTACCAAATTATTTTCTGCTTAATACTTACACCTGACGCAACCAACTCAGCAAGCATAGCATAATTGGGATTCTCATGGCCATTTCCAAAAGGTATGAACTTGTATGGGACAGGGTATGGAAGCAAGTTTATGGCAGCAGTAAAGACATCTATGCAGTATCCCTTCACGCCATCGTTATCTGGCTCTACTGAAACAAATTCCCGGTAACTTACTCTGTTAGGAACAACAATTCTTAACTCTTTCCCATTATTAGGGAAAACCCAACCACGAGGCTTTGTTATCACCTCCCCAGGCCAAATGACACTATACAGTTGTTGATTTGCACTGGAACTATTTGCTGGATTCATATACAGTTCTTCAGGTGACATAATTGACAATCCAGAGTAGTTTGTCCAGTAACCGATTGTTCGCCATCCAGTTCCTAGCATATTGAGGATATCATAAGCAGGGTGAATGAGGTTCGCTTCAGAGTCGAACTGGACTTTCCCAGTAACACCATCAAAATTCACATTATGAATCTTGTTCAGCAAAATCTGGCCCCCATCAAACACACTCATTGCTTCGAGGTGTAAATTCCTTCCCTCAGCATCATGCAGATTTGAGAAATTTGAAAATGAAATCGATCCACCATCATTGAAAAAGGCATCCAATGCATGAGAAACCAGCCACACTGTGTCATAAGCATATAGACCATAAGAGTTAAGATGGAAGTTCTCAGTTGTGCCGTTCTTGGTCAACTGGCTCCATCTTGAAGTTAGAGTGTTCTTGAGTTTTGAATCTACAGTGTGCTGTCGCAATACAAGAACTCCTTGCATTGTGTCCAAAATATCTGTATCCAGTGGAGTTGAAGAATCTAAAATTGAAGAAAGCCAATCTGTTGCTATCCAAACATACCCATTTGACACCATACCTAGATATCTTGCTGTGGCGAAAACTTCAATACCGATGCTTGGATTCACATGTACGACAATAATCCGTGAAGCCATCAGCGCAACTTTAACCAACAAATCCATGATGTCACGCCTTGTAGCCCCGGGTTGCAATGCAGCCTTGTAGGATATCTGGTAGCGCTTCTCTGAAAGCTTATCACCTAGAGAATTTATTCCATTTCTACCATAATCATCATCGACGAATATGGCTATCACCTGGCTCCACTGGTAATAGTCAACTAGTTCAGCTACAGCAGCCATTTGAAAGAGATCGCTATGGGTTGTTCGGACAAAAAAGGGATATTGCAGTGAAGAAAGAGTAGGATCTGTGGCAGCAAAGGAAAGAAGAGGGACTTGCAGATCGTTTGCAACATGTGAAATGACATGTGCAATTACGGAAGATTGCGGACCAATGATTGCGACAATGTCTGTCTCCATGAACTGCAATGCTGTGTGAGGAATTAGTAACAAATAATAAGTTCATTTTGTTATAATAGATGAAGGCTTTTCACAAAATAGAAACTTAGTGTGGTGGTACCTTGAACAATACCAATGAAACTGTTGCAATTGGAGTCTTGCATTTCAACAACCAGCTTCGTGCCTTGGAGAACACTTGGGTCTGCATTGACATCGCTCACTGCAGCATCAATGGCAACCTTGGCAACTCTTCCAATGGTGGAATTGTGGGAAAAAAGAGCTCCAATGTGCACTGTAGGAGGTCTTATAGCAGAGACATTCCTACCGAGGTCACTCCGAAGGAGACTAAAACAGAGTGCCAAAAATAGAAGCAAAGCATGCTTCATGGTAGGATCCATAATTAAGGATCCTAGATTGTTCGTTGATTTCAGAATTGCATCATAGTCTCCGAAACAAAACCAAAACCGCTAGCATCATTACCAGGACCAAACCAATAATAACCTTCTCACGTATCAGTGTAACCAGGAGGCTGAAGAACATAAACCATGATTAACAAATATGCAAAGCGTCACTAGAAAGTAAGAAAATGAAGAAACAAGAAAGAGTAAGAGCCAATTATGATCATAAAGAAAGGTCAAAAAAGAAATATTAGAAAAGAAAAGCAAACGAAAGACCAAGAAACGGAAACTACCAAGAGCTATCTCTCTCTAGCAAGACAAGTGAGAAGCACAGAATATTATGCTAGCTAAACCCTAGACCTAACTAGAGAAAAGGTACTTGAAATAGAAGGAGTACAATAGGAGTGGTACGCTGGAGGAAAACAGAAGAAATTATCTGAAGGAGTTCCCTGAAACAGGAAAATGAAAAGGAATTAGACAATTCAGATGCCTTGAGCCGTGAAATCTATGCTGTTAGCCAAGAAGAGGAAGTGAGGGAACAATAGCTGAACAAGGAAAAGGGGAAAAAGGGGGTCAGCACAAAATTACGAAGCACAAATGAACAGGTGAAGATGGAACCAGGAGCTCATATGTCCTACTGAACTCTGCACAGGAGGGAATTAATGGTGACAGGGACTGGCAACAACTGTCACAAAATGTAAGAAGAATATCAACAAACACATAAAGGGCACCAAGTAGAGTATGGACTGTTCCACTTGCTGCTTGTCCTGGTGAAGCTGAAACTGAATGCACAGTAAGAGGAGAACAGTTCTCGGACCGACAGACACCTACTTTCACTGTATTTGCTGTTGGTCACCATGAGTAACTCGATTTCAAGGTTGGAAGAGCTGCCTTGTGTTCTTTGATTGTTGATGGATGAGGATCCAGTGGCAGCTGATCTGATATTTGATAAGATGTCGCAGAATTCCCGTGTTGTGTGGGAGAGAAGGCCCGCACAACCTGCATCATATCAATTCAGGGTCATCTTCTCTCAACAGGCAAATCACTGCATGAAGTTGATAGCCTACTGTCCCAAGTTGTCCCACATATCCTATGGCTCACCTTCTTCTTCTTCTTCTTCTTCTTCTTCTTCTCCTGCATGACATCCTCCCCCTCGACATTATTGTCTTCGATGCTGATGGGTCCTTTTACTTGCAGATTAGAGCTTAAAAGGTGGAATCTTTGGACAATCTGTGGAATCAGTATGGTACAAAAATATCGCGTAAAATATATCATTTTATATTATTAAAAAAAACAAAAACAATATGATATCGAATGGTATGATCAGGAAATCATGGAGAGAAGAAAAGGCCAAAACGACAATTAAACACCAGATGAGTGCTATTGGATATTTGTCATTTGATCGACCCATATGTCATGTTAGCATTCGAGGTGAGAGGAAGATGGTGCCAACACAAGCTTTTAGATGGTTACGGAGGCGACGTCGAAGGCGAGGGGCGGAGACGACATGGGCCGAGGCCGAAGCAACGCCGGAGGCGAAGCATGGAGACGACCATATTGGGGCCGCGATCGATGGGGCGAATGACAGAAATTATTTGATCTTTTAGAAAATAATGAATGAAATAAGTTAGGAGCTCTCTAAAAATAATAATTAAATTAAATTAAATTTCTTTTGAGAATTTATCCAAATCAATTTATATCCTATTTATGAGTTTAAATTTTTTTTAGATGCAATGATAGTGATAAAAAAATTAAGAAAAATGAGAAAATTACAAATTATATCTTATCCACGTAATTTTTGAGTGACACCTCGGAAATTACTTGTTATTTTTATTTATTTTTAACCTTCAGAGCTTTAAATGTAATCAGTCTTTTTGCACGACTTTGATGCTGACTTGAGTTACGAAAGAGGGGATTATATCGACATGACGTCATCGTCGAATACACGTAGATAAATGTGGAGGCCACGTCGATGTTTCCCATGTTTCGGTGTTTGCTGTATGGTTCCGAGCAGCTCAGCTTGTCATAAGGAAACCACCGGTCGAAGTCGAAGTTGACTCATGTCTCTGGCCGACGCGAAGGCGGTCGCGGAATCCTCGCCCCGCCTTCCTCCCCCGCGGATCCATAGCTCGCTTCCGGAACGAGGTCTCTTTCCAACTAGTCTCCGGTAATTGCATCTAAGCCCTGTTCTTTGGAACCCTAATCTCGTGCCTCATGACCTTCTGCTTCCCGTTGTTCAACTCAGATTCCTGTTCTGGTATCGAATCCCTTATGCTGGTATCTTCTAGTTTAAGATTATTGGTGGCAGGAAGTTGAATCTAAGTCGCTCAATTTGTTGTATGATTGTCAGACATTGCCACTGGCTGCTAGCCGCAAAAGATCCATTCTTATAGAGTTGGTATAAAAGAAAGGTAACTTCTTTCACCTCAAATTCTATTTTTGATTTGGATCGGTAGATAAGTGCGGAATTGTCTCTTAACATCATATGAGTATCTTTGAATATAGTTTTTCTTTGACAAGTTGTTGATGAACTATAGATCACTGTCCAATAAGAGCTTTATTCCACTCTGCTGGTTGTTCTCTGCTTCCTAATAGATTAGTAAAGTAAATTAAACTTCGAGGAATTAAAAGGAGTATACAGAACAACAATATACACTACTGGCAACTACTTGTTGAAGGAAAAACTGAGACAATATGCGAAGAAAGGAGCTAAAGATTAAATTTTTGTCTTTGTATTAATATCTTCCAACAAAGTAATTAAGGCTACTTAGTCTATTTTTGGAGTTCCCTTGTATCATAAGTAGTTCTCTCCTGCTTCAGTGAAGCCTTTTTGTGGTTTTTTGTTTGTGTTTTGTTGTCTAAAATGGTTTACCTACACATATAACTACAGAGATTGTAATTGTACATGGTACCTTATTGAGATTGACATATTGCAAATATTCGAGTAGATAGATTGTTTGCGAAAAGCAAGGTCCACCATACCACGGTGGACCGCTCGGTACGAGCAGTACATACCGATCCAATATAGGACCAATATAAGCAGTACATATCAGTCTATCGGTACCTTACCATACCGTGTGTTAGTACATCGGTACATACCACACTGATGACTAATCGGTATATCGGTACAGATCGGTAAGATGAGCCATGGCCAAAAGAGTGGCATATCATGTATGTATTGGCAGAAACCACAAAATTTTGCTTGTACCCTATGTTGTCTTATACTTCATTATCATCTCTACTCGCCAGTCACGTCTTTCTCTTGTCATGGCCAGTGAGAATTCTTTGCCCCACTTTGCATTATCTGTTTATCATTGTCTCTACTCTATATTCTTATGCTCATCCATCACAGTGGTGAATACATTGTGATGTTTGATTGAAAATGATTCCCTTTTGCATTTGATTCAGTGATATATGCCTTTGATGTTTGCCCATGTCTTAAATATATATTTCAAGTACTAATTCAAATCCTATGTTTAGTTTCTCTTCTACTCTCTTTACCTTGAATTTGTACCGATACTTATTGGTTGACAATCTTTTTCGTGCAAAGAAGTCATGTCACAAAGGAGTGTGTGAGATTTACTAAGGATAAGAGTCCCTTGTGTAATTGATCCTTCTGTCTATTTGTACTGTTGACCTGAAAAATAAATATGAGCTATATTAGCTTGTTATGCTGATTCAACTCCTTCCCTTTCCTAGTGATGTTACATCTCTCAAAAGTAAGCCTTATGAGCCAGCAGGAGTACATGTGTCTAGGAATAATCTGATGGCTGGTCATTAATGGGAAGCCTACAAGCTTTTAAGACCTACCTTCCGAGAATCTTGGAAATTCACAGGTCATTATCACCAGCCTAATGGGTACTTCGGCCTCTTTGCACAAAATAGAAGCTACTACCTTTATATCAGCAGGAGTACATAAGTTTGTTGTGCATGATTTGTCATTGTACCATCATATTTCGTAGTTGTGCAGTTTATATATTTATGTTGCCATTTATGATCTTCAGGTGTCTGCTGGTAGAACGACAACCGGTTTCAGGTGTATCACATGGATCATTAGTGTCTGCAGTATCTGTTCTTCCAGTTGAACTTATCACTACCAAGCCTCAGCTCTGCGCATGATCCTTGTTGCTGATATAAAGGTCACAAGGAGGCATTTAAATTCTTGACATCTTAGATTAGCTGAGGTGAATAATTAAGATGACGTAAGGTCACTGTTTTTCCTCCAGGGCTTCATTTTTTGCCATTTGATGACATGTCTATAGAGTTCACTGTTTCCTTCTTATTCCATTAATATTCTGTATCAAGAAGAGATAGAGGATACTAAATCTTGTATTTGTTAGTCCTATGTCAATCTTTATTTGTTAGCAATGATCATGGATGGGATCAAATAAAGAACAGCAATGATGACACTTATCATCTCCTCTAAACCATAAAGTGGGTTTTATGTGATTATCACACTATAAATGTAAATTTTCTCTTGGCATTTAGGATGTGCCATTATAGCTCGCACTGACTATAGAATTTGAATACTTGGAAGACAGCAAGGTTGATGTGGAAGATGGGAGTGCTTTTCTTGAGCACCTTCGTGTACCTTCTGTGGTAGAACAGTATCAGCAATTGACCAATGATTCTATTCTGGTTCAGAACATAACACTACTTCTGAGTAGGGCAATGTAGAATGATTGAAAACCTTCTTTATGGTTTCCAATGATTAATGACATGATCAGACCTCTTGGCACAGTGCCAAGAAACCCTAAAACCTAAACTGTGTTGATACCTTTATCCATGTTTTCTGAAGTGCTTTTGAAGTATTTCAACTCTTCATTTTCTTTGTTTCCTGCTTGTCTTAATTGCCTTGTAATACATGTGAATACTAGGCATACATCCTACCTCACATAGTGAATTTATGAGTGATCAATTGCGTGCACCCATCTCAAAGTTTCTCAAAGTGGGATAGATGTGGATCACACATTGAAATGAGTGCTACTATGTAGTAAAGAAAGGATCTGAACCTACTCTAAACACTTTTGGTAGGGACTAACAAAACAGTGTAGAAACTATAATTAGTGAGAAAAGACTGGCATGATGGTGAGGTTGTGTTGTTATACAGAAAGATAATGTTTTATTTCTTAGAGAAAGGGATAATACAACCAAAATGTAGCAAAACACTACACATTAAAAATGCAGCCACCATTCACAGCAGTAGCTTTTTGGCAAGTATGCTGTTCTAATAGCTCAGTAGCTCCAATTAATCCATCTATGTGTTCCAATACAACCATTGTCTCGCAATGGCACAAACAACAGGATGAGCCTGAGGTGAAGATACAGATCTACAAGTAGCTCTCTTTAAGAGCCGCAGATAGACATGGAGAGATCCAAATTAACTCTCTGGCCACCATCATAGCAACCTGAGCATTCAGTAATGCTTCTACCTGAGGAAGAAAAGAAGCCAAGACTTGCTTTGCTCGCCACGGCGCTCCTTGGAGTGGAATACAACGATAAGGACAGCGACAACGAACAGTCGTGGGGTTCTTCACCTTCCAATGTCTCCTCGTTGATTGCTGGGCACTTGTAGAATCCATCTTTGAAGCTCTTTTGGCAATGCTGCTTGTGATTTAGAATGTTGGCCTGTCATCAGCTTTTCCAAAGTCAAATAAACTGGTTGAATAACACTTCCAAGAATGATAAGCCTTTCACTCGATGTTCAATCATGCTTCAAGGAACTCTTACAAAGAGAAGAAGAAGAAGAAGAAGAAGAAGAAAAAGGAAATGGGAGATTGGAGGTAATCGATTTGCTTAGATTTTACTGATTACAGTTAGTCCTCTTTGCTTTACTCAGAGCTGGGAAGTCATTAGGAGCAGAACATGTCATATCACTTCCTTTGTGGTCATCATATTCATAGGTATGACTAGTACTAAAGATTTAGATAGGTTAAAAGTTGAATTAAGTGAAATTATGACAGAATTAAATTATCATGCTGTGACTACCAATAAGATTTCTTTCTATTACTCAATCATTATAGTATAACCATAGACTGACTTGTCTATCATAATTATACATGACAAATGTACCATAGGTGGGACTCCAATGTACATCTTTTAAGCAGCACATTCACTGTAGTTCACTTACATAGCTTGTTGTGTTTGTGTGTCTTTATCCTTTTGGATTACAGATATGTGGATGCCTATGCATAAGTATAATAATGATCCAACATACTAAGAGAAATGCAATGCAGGAAGTTGGTATTAGCATTTAGATTTAGAGAGCAAGAATGAAATCAGGAAGAATATTGTGGTCATAAAGGGTATATAGTACATGTAGGGGCAACAGTCTCCCTCTAAAAGAACAGTGAAAAGCCAAGTTCCACTGCAGGTCATGGTCATGTCAAGAGATCAACAAAGGAAACTTGAGCAAGATGGTCAAGAAAGAGTCACTGCAGGAGATGATAAAGCTAAAGAACACTACAAGGATGAGGAAGAAAAGCTTTACAGTGTGAAGAACACTGGGATTGCAGGGTTGTTCCTCGCCTTTTGATTTACCTGAAAAGGGATGGGTTCTTCTGCCCTAGATCCTGGAACTTTGAGCTTGGGAGCTGGATGATGAAAGGCCATGGCGGGAACAGCATCTTTATGCCACCAGAGGCCTTCCTCCTGTGCTCCGCCCTCGCTACCCAAGGCTCGCATGCAAGTGTCATAGCAGGACCAGGAGGTGACTCTCTCCACCACGCCTTGGTTGCATTGTCTGTTAGATCCTGGAACTTTGAGCTTGGGAGCTGGATGATGAAAGGCCTTGGTGGGAGCAGCATCTTTCTGCCACCAGAGGCCTTGCTCCTGTGCTCCACCCTCGACACCCAAGGCTTGCATGCAAGTGTCATAGCAGGACCAGGAGGTGACTCTCTCCACCACGCCTTGGCTACATTGTCTATTAGTAAGGGATGAGCAAAGATTAGGGCAAAGTGAGCTGAGAAGATGACTCGGTAATCTGTTCACAATGTGACGGTCACTGTTGGAAGTGGAGATCAAAAAGCTCGACGATAGCTTGCCAACCTTTTCACAGGAGGGAGAGTAGCGTACAGGAACCGAGACTGGAACTCCGTAGTGGGCTTTGAGTCGGTGCATGAAGCATCATCACTTCGCTCATCACCGTTGCCATCATTGTCAAAGCACAGGTGCTTTCTCGCTTGCAATTCTAATGACAAGCAAGTTGAGATAGTGTGTTAGGCTTTCTTCCCACCTCATACCAGCAGTGAAGGGAAGGAAGAAGAAATTACAGTGGGACACAAATGTTTATGGCAAGAAGAAGATAGAAGAAGGCACATCATCTTACCTTGCCTGCCCATGTCATTCCTCAAGCTTCTATACATCTGAACAGAACCATACCTTTCTATATCAGAAACCATGAAGAGATCAAAAGATGCATTGGAAGATCGAATCCTACCTGGAGATGACTCTTCACATGTGATATAGTCAAACCTCTGACATCCATCATCTGAAGCACGAGCTTCGGTGTGGCCTCTGCAGACAAGGAGGAAAGCAATGAGGAAGGCAGGCAGACCACAGGAAGAACTCATCGATGATTGAAGCGGAAGCCATACTCTCTTGGCCTCCAAGCCTTTCAATGGCGTTAACGAAGCAGTGGTGCAGGTCAGGAGTCCATCTCAACCGAGGAACCTTAGATCTTGTGTACTGTCTCACCGCACCACTATTCCTCCCAAAGTCTCCCATCTCGCTCACCTCGTCTTCTCTTCCTCGCAGGTTTGGAACATATTTATAGCTTGTAATAGAAGAATTAACAGGGAAAAAGCATGCACAATTCAAGATCATGACGAAACCATGTGCATAAAACATGAGCATTGACAACATCGGGCATCTAAACATCGTTGGGACTGTCGAGGGTTACTGAGATCACGAGCAGACATTATTAGGAGGATTTAATGAGTAAAGAGAGAGAGAGAAGACAAATTTTTCTGCTGGGCTGTCTATGATATGCTTTCTATTCCTCCACCTGAAAAGAGAGGGTTTCACTTCACTTTCCTCCAAATAAACATGATTATTGCACCCGGGCAGAACTTTTGACTCACCACACAAGGGACAGGGATAGGGCAATGGCAGGACAGAGAGAGAGAGAGAGAGAGAGAGAGAGAGAGAGAGTATT